GCTAGACGAAGGCCTCACTCCGAGAGTTGTGGGGGGGGGGGGGGAGGCGCAGAACCAGTTCGGATGTCACTCGCCACTTGATACGAGTATTTGCCATGGTTGGCAATGGAACCGAGGTCATCAGGGTCAAAATACATTTTGCTGACCGCTGTCCCACTTCGCCACTACTTCCACCCCCCCCCTCCTCCAATATTTAACGTACAGCACTTGATATAAAAAGAGTTATATCGTCACCGTTATGCATGTATCTATGCTGAACTTCTTTCGCACCGTACGTAGCCATGACCAATGCACTGCTGGATGAAGGCCTCGCTCCATCTTTCGGTCTTGGAGATTCCTCCTCCACGCTGGTCAGTGCTGGTCGCCGAAGAAGAGGGACCCCGGGCTTTCTCGGATATCGCTCGTCGTCAAACTCGGGGAAACGGATTCAAAGCGAGATCCGCTAAACACTGCACCACCGCTGCGCCCGGGGCTTCAAGAGTAGCCCGGCTCACGAAAGAAACGCTGCCGGCAAACGAGTGAAGAGCGCTAGTAAGGGCGGCAAGCGCCGCCCCACCATTCCCTGTCACGGTGTACGGAGAAAACTTGACCTGACTGTTGACGGTTTGAACAAAAAGAGGCCCTGAAAAAGATCTTTAAGCTGCTGTCATTGTTATTCTTATCTCGTTATACATCACCGTTCGCGGCAAATGTGCCCTCGGCCGTAACCAACTGCTTACCGTGGTTCACCGAGGCCTTTTTATTCTTCAAAAAAAATGTCGAGATGGCCAGATAGCTAAGAGGACAAAGCGCTCAGCCGGCACCGCTGAGAACGTGGGTTCGAATCCGCTTTACCAGCCGCTCGCGAGCAAACGGGCGACCTAAATCGTCGTCAGTTGATGGGACTCGGCCTGATGACCAACCACTGCGCACAAAAATAAGCCCATCAGAGTAAACGTCACTGCAACTAATTTGGCCAAATTCCAGCTCTGCAAATGAAATTAACGGTTTGATCATCACACGATGAACATTACTCTCATATGCATATCACTCGAAGGGCTCTCAGAGCTAGCTCTGTGGTATCTCCTTCCCCGGGACAATCTCTACCGTGATGGATTGCACTGCTCCGAGAGTTCCAAGTGCACGATTCGTCTCATGGCGCGTGGCAAGGAAATAAACAATTAAGACATCACAGCGGAAGTCCTGACGAAGGGCAATGATGACCAATACATTCAACTTTCATTTGACTTAATCTTAAAATCCATCACCAGACTTGCACCAATGTCAGCATGTTATCATCTGGGATATGTATGCTTAACTCTTTTCGCACCGGACGTAGCCAACCGTGCTAATTGGAGGTGCGGGATATCAATTCAAGTGCGTTTCACCTGGCTGAATAACAGGTGAACAAGTCTCTCTGCGACACCGTTTTCTGGGGCCCACTCTCTGACACAAGGTGGTGCACTGCTCACTGCAGAATGTTTTTGCATCCTTGTATCATGACACTAGCAGCACGGTGGAAATTTATGGATTTTTTTCCATCCCAATTACATTTCAACTGCCCGAACAGTATCACGTCACGAAGAGGGCAACATTTTTGCATTTGGAAATCCGAAGATAGCAGCGCATCACCCCGCGTTGGGTGACGTCGTAGAACTTCTTCGTAAGCAACTTCAAAAGGCCACTTCATCCCACTCGAGGGCCACGCCATGTACATGCCTTGCAAGGAGTGTTCATCGCATGTCAATCAAAATTGATTGGTTCCATTCTTAGAGGAGGAATGTAGTCAAATTTAATGCAAAAACCAAATTTCATATGAGGGTGGTGGTGGTGGTGGTGGCGGTGGGGGCGGTAGCGGCGTGTGAAGTCAAGGGTGGCCAGGATGAGACCATCAACTGGCTCCACTTGAGAATCCGGTTTAGACACCACGGCTGTTTGCACAGATTCGAAACTGGGTACACGGTGGCACCAGCTCAGCGTGGCTGACCCCCCCGACATTAACCACTTACAGCACAGCTGAAATATAAATAACACGAATAATAATAAATGATGACGATGGCAAATTGCCAAATTACGACAGAATTATACTCGGGGATGTTTTACGCAACTTGTCCCATCACAACTGCACACATCGGTGTGCATGCGGCGCAACTTAACCGAGCCCCACCGGGCTGGGTGTACGTTTGAACTTCTTTCACACCGTACATTAGCCAAGCGTGCTTACCGGTGGTGTGGGGGGGGCGGCTCGAGAGGGGTGAGGGTGCCCAGGCACCAGGCTATAAAGGGGCAATGAGGGAATTGGACGGTGGGACCATCCCCATTTCATTAGTTGTAACCCGGGGGTGCCCATGCCAACCACGGACACCTATCGCTGCCGTGCCTTCTTCCCCCGGTGATCTGATCAAAATAGAACTGCACAGACTCCCAAGCTGTGCCACGACCTTTTTGGCCGGAAATCAGTCTTGGATTAAAGGCCTGGATCCGCAAGGCCAATGCTAAGGCCATGAGTGAGGGTTACCACCTAGAAGTTAAAAACAGGGGAGGGGGGGACACAGTGGGAAAAAAGATGTATACCTCACAACACAAGATGACCGGATAACCACGTAAACATATTGTCTCGAATGGTGTATTCTTACGCAACGGACAGAAAGCAAGACCTTTCACGTCACGGGGAAGACTTATTATAGATTTCCCAGGACATAAAGGGGACAATCTCCGGACAAACATGACAGGGTGGCAGCAGGTCTACGTGGGAGCCACAAGGCGTAAGCCAAGGCTACGGCCTGGAGATGTTTAGGTTGAGGTCAGTGTCATGGCCAGGCGAGGCCAGATCCTCTAGACCAGGGGATGGTAACCTGCGGATCCTTTAAGGGCTGCAGTGCGGCTCTTGAAATTCGAAAAAAGAAAATTATTCTTGTTATTTTGGTTGCAGATCCCTGACCATGGAAGTCCAGTCTACAATGGGAGTCCAGTTTACCATGGGAGTCCAGTTCACCATAGGAGTCCAGTTCACCATGGAAGCATCATCGGTGCTGGATGTAATTACCTGCGAAACGTCGTACTCAAAAATTGTAAATGTTGTGGATTCATTCTTCAACACACCAGTGGGATACTTTTTTACTGATTGGCCGTGTCGGGTGGTGGAGGGTTACTACACATTTATAAATAACGCGATCTAATCCAAAAACCTTTATTATGAATATTGGTCGCGAAAGCCTACGTGTTAAAATGGAAGTCCAGTTCACCATGGGCAGGGGTCGGCGACCTGGGGCTCCAGAGCCGCATGCGGCTCAAACGACTGCTGCGCGACGTTATTTATGAAGGACCCCCGTCTCGTATTCACACGCATTGGTGGCTCTTGAAATATTTGGCGGTTTGTCACAGAATTCGAAAATAAATGTCTCTTTGTGTTGCTTTAGTTGGCGAACCCTGCTCTAGGCTAAGGCCAGTATCAAGGTGGCTACCTCGATGGCCGGTGTCAAAGCCAGTGGCTGGCACAGCTGTACCGTACAAAGCGTGGTGTAGCGAAGCAGCCACGGTACACCATGTTTGCATGCTGTGCTGCGAAAAGTGGAAAAACTCCAGTCCCATATTGTACTGGGGCTTGCGAGAAAATCACCCAGAATTGCGCCCAATCTCACGAGCTCTCGGAAGCTAAGCAGGTTTAAAGCCTGAATAGTGCTTGGACCATAATTTACCAGCATGGTCAAGGTAGGTCAAATCATTCCCGTGGCCCACACGACAATGGGGGCCCATCCAGGAGTGGATTGACAAAGGGCTCTAAATGTACGGTCCTGCATGGCAACAATCCGCCAAGCCCCTAGCACGGGCTCGGGATTTCATTGCTCCATCTCCGCGGCGGGGCGCGTCCTACGCCACCTTGTGGCATCCTGCATTGTGTTACAATCACGTGGTATGGCAAGAGGCGAGGAAAACCACGTGCTGCTGTTGCTGCTGCTGCTCCATACTGCAAGTGAGTTTCACTGTGCTCGTAATGTGCTGCCCGGCTGCGTTGCGCTGTATCGCGAGCTGCCGCTGTCCTGTACGTAGCAGTGTCGCCCCGTGTGGTGCTGCCCCGCTTTGCCCTGAGCATACCGTGTCAACCCACACGCTTTGCTCCGTAATCTTCTTGCACGGGGAAATTGAGTTTTCAGGTCCGTACGCCGTACAGCCGTTCCAATACGGGCAAGAAATTATCATGTTGCGTCCGTTTGTTTGCGTTTCTCTCCCTTGTGATGCGACTTTGTGGGATGAACGTTGAGATTTATAAGGGGCACGGGGTGACTAATAAGGTCTGAATTTGTCTCGAATATGGTAGGGCGCTGATGAGTGGTTTTGCAGCTATGCTTGTGTTGCTAACGCATTGCGCACTCCCCATTGGTGTGTTGTTATTGTGCGTGCCGCCCCGTGCCTGCTTCTGCGCTCTGTTAGTGCTTCATTGTGTGCTTGCCTTCCCCTCTGCTGTGCCGTGCAAGGGCGCTGCACTGCCGTGCTGCTGCTGCTGCTGCTCTGCATTGCTGGCGAGCTGTACCGCGTACTGCCGCTGCTGTTGCATACAGAAAACACTGCGCTATTATTCCCCGAGCGTTGTACCGCTGCGTTGTTCCACGTTCACACACACACGCACTCTCAGTGCTGTCGCGTGCTGCACTGCTGCATTGGTTCCACGTTCACACAGTGCTGCGCGGTGCTGCATGCGGCTGTCCAGCACCCCCAACGGCTAGGGAGCTAAAGCGGGCAAAACATTTTCCGGAGTTCAGCCCCGGGCTGCAATGAAGCCCCGGGCTGATCGCGGTGCCCTTGCTGGAACCGTGCCGCGACGTCCGCACTGCATTGCGCGGCTTTGTTGTGGGGTTGTTGTTGTTGTTGTTGTCATTCTGGAGCCCTGCCGTTGCTACATAGCGCCTTGTTACTGCACTGCGTTAGTACTGCCGCCACCCGCCACCACCACCACCACCTCCTCCTCCTCCTCCCATACTACCACCGCACTGCCGCTGTCACGACCGCGCTGCGACCCTTACCCAGCACGTGCGCTCCCTTGCTGCTGCTGCTGCTGCTCGTGGTGGTGCTGCTGCTGCCCGTCGTGCTGCTGCTGCTGCCCGTGGTGCTGCTGCTGCTGCCCGTCGTGCTGCTGCTGCTGCTGCACGTGGTGCTGCCCGTGGTGCTGCCCGTGGTGCTGCCCGTGGTGGTGCCGGTGGCGGAGGGAGCTCCCCTACCGTCCGCGCCCGAGGATCCGCCGCTGGAGGCCGGCTTGCGCTGCCTGGCGCCCGCGTCCTGCATGGCCCCTGCCGGGCGGGCGTCCTCTTCGCTCCAACACAAAGGGGGCTTTCTCTCGCTCCCTCGCTCTCACACGCACGCCACCCACACCACCACCACCACCAGCACCACCTCCTCCTCCTCCCTCTGGAGCGTCTGGCAGCCGTAAGGAGCCGGGGCGCACCGAGGGGGCGGGGAGGCGGGGGGCGACCCACGCCTTACCACCCCGCCCCCTTTTACGTCAGCCACGCCCACTTTCGAATATAAGCCCCGCCCGCCAGATTAGAGCCGCCCCTTTCAGGGTTAGTCACGCCTCCACGCGTTCCCTCGAACAACCCACCCCCCATGCCACGCAAAGCCAGATACACTTTCACACAAAGCCAAACCTCATGCCATACTAAGACAGGCCCCATGCCACACTAAGCCAGACCCCCATGCCACACTAAGCCAGGCCCCATGCCACACTAAGCCAGGCCCCATGCCACACTAAGCCAGGCCCCATGCAACACTAAGCCAGGCCCCAATGCCACACTAAGCCAGACCCCCATGCCACACTAAGCCAGGCCCCATGCCACACTAAGCCAGGCCCCATGCCACACTAAGCCAGGCCCCATGCAACACTAAGCCAGGCCCCAATGCCACACTAAGCCAGACCCCCATGCCACACAAAGCCAGGCCCCAATGCCGCGCTAAGCCAGACCCCCATGCCACACTAAGCCAGGCCCCATGCCACACTAAGCCAGACCCCCATGCCACACTAAGCCAGGCCCCAATGCCACACTAAGCCACGCCCCTTGCCACACTAGGCCAGACCCCCATGTCACACTAAGCCAGGCCCCATGCCACACTAAGCCAGACCCCCATGCCACACTAAGCCAGACCCCCATGCCACACTAAGCCAGACCCCCATGCCACACTAAGCCAGGCCCCATGCCACACTAAGCCAGGCCCCATGCCACACTAAGCCAGGCCCCATGCCACACTAAGCCAGGCCCCATGCCACACTAAGCCAGGCCCCATGCTACACTAAGCCAGGCCCCATGCCACACTAAGCCAGATACTCTTTCACACTAAGCCAAGCCCCATGTCACACTAAGCCAGGCCCGATCCAACACTAAGCCAAGCCCTTTTTCACACTAAGCCAAAGCCCATGCAACACCAAGACAGACCATCTTTCACACAAATCCAGGCCTTCTTTCATGCTATGCCAGGCCCAACTGCACACTAAGCCAGGCTATATGCCACACTAAGCCAAGTTCTCTTAAACGAAACTAGATTTTTCTTTTTTTACCAGGTAAGGCCCACTGAGCTATATAACTCTTTTTCAGAAGCGACCTGGCTACAAATGATAGCTCAGCGAAGTGGCTTATCACGTGGAATTTTATAGCAGCCAAATACTCTACATTTTCAAATGTAGAGGGAAACCCCGGAGGGCCCGGACAAAAATACACGTGACCACGGGGAGAGAGACATGCAAACTCCAAAAATACAGGCATCAGGGTCGGGATCGATCCCACGACCTCCTGAATGTATGATTTGACGGGTGCGAGGGACATAATGGAAAGTCTATTTCAGTTTCAGTTTCTTTATTTTGGTATAGCCCTGTGAGCCATTCGGCTCTTGAATCGGGTGCAACCACAACAAACAAAAAAAACAAAAACACGAACAAGAAAACATCTTAAAGTAACTATGTGTGACTGTACAAACAGAAAATCCATGAAAAAACAGCAAAAATATTCCTGAAAAAAAAAGCACCGTACACCAACGCTGTGTGCAAAAAATCCCATTGGGATGCAAGTCAAACAACAACAACAACAACCACAAGAAAACTTACGTTTAAGGCCATCAGTCTAACTCCGTACTAGATGAGGGTGCAGGATCGGTGGGGACATTTGTTCCTTACCGCGGGGCAAATATGACTTTCAAATAATTTGGATAGGTCACACTTTAACACACAACTCAGCGTTATCCAATCATAGTTTGAAAAATGATGTCCGCATCGACCAAGTATGAAGAGACCCTTGCAGTCGTGTCTCCAAGTCGAAAATATTCGTCTCTAGTACCTGATTAATGTGGCTCAGATGCTTGCAAGTGATGAAGTTAAAAAACTACTAATCTATCTTTTAATTTACTAGGCAAGGCGCTTTGTTTTAGAGACGAAAATATTTCTTGCCAGTAGAGGGGGTCAACGGCGACTCTGTTTTCACAATTTGATAATTTGCAAGGTAATTTTTCGAATTAGGAACATTTGTGACCGTGATGCTGGCACACATGGCCTACACTTTTTCGAATAGTAACGTCACTGTGAAACAGATGGCGAATTGGAACCATGAGAAAGACATCCGCGGAATTTACTGGGGCGGCCAGCGGGCCTAAAAACTGTGGAACCTCTGCAACACGCAGGAAGCATGCTACAGCTAAGCCACGTCACCGCTCCACCGCCCCCCTGCATTTAAAGATTATTGCCTTGAAGACATGACTTTGCCACATATCTGTACTTCATCAAACCAATGTGAAAACTATTCCTTAACGCTTAAAATAATGCATGTTTCATTATGTAAGATGTCGTAAAAAAGAAAAACTTGCCGCCCAAGATTGGTGCATACAATGTTTATGCAGCATGTGCCATTCCTGGTTGCTGCAATTTGCACCAATTTATATTTTACACACATTGTTAAATCCACATTGGCAAAGAAATGCATTGGACATCATTTTCAAGTCACAATACGTCTCTTGAAGATACACTGGATATAGAATGTTGTGGAGGAAGCATAGACATACAGTATAACAATGGCTTGTACTGCACTGCCCTCTGCTGCCCACCATGTAACCTCGCAATCTGATTAAAACCCTTCTTGTGGTCATCCATGCAAGCACTATTCAGGGTCAACCGTGCTCAGATTCCCAGCTCTGACGAGATCGCGTTGCATTGCATGTGATTTGGTCATAATGAATAACCTCTATTGTTACAAAAAAATGCGAATGTTGCAAATGATGATCATCGTGAATGCTAGTTTGGAGATGTCAATGCTGATGATGATATGAGGCTAGACATTACGTTGAAGAGGTCAATGACAATGCTGATGAATACGATACAATGAAATATGAAGACAAGACAGCAGAGGTGAATGATACGTCGTGAGAAAGTTGAAGATTTTAAATGTTACATGAGTTACTCTCCATAAACGAGTTACATGAGTTAGCGTCTATATATGGGTAACTTATATCAATACGAAAGAGTTACATAATCTGAATGTGAATTAATTCAGTGCGGTGTGTTACATCGCGAGTGTGAGTCTTGGAACTGAATATAAATATAGATACGCGTGCACGCATATGAAGAAGAAGTGGGTGTCTATATTGGATTGTTAATGAGAGCAGCTTCTAACAATATAATTAAAATGAAAACGGCCGATAGTCACTTTCATTGCTTCGCGCTTTATCTGACACCGTTCACAGTTTTGCAAAGTTTAAAATTGACAATCGCAGCATCAAATATTACGTTAAATAATATCGTATTCTCCGGATTATAAGACACCGGCAAATAAGACGCACCCAAGCTTGCGCCCAGTACCAATCAAGACATGCAAATAAGGTCAAACGTACACATATTATGGATTATAAAGTATGACGACTTAGCACAAACGTCGAGAACACCATAGCCTTAAAAGAAGGCAATGAAAGCGGCGTTTCGGTACACGACTCTTCGTCAGAGCACGTCACATTTGAACCTTATGGCGGGGTCACATAGTACCCTGGGGTACCGCCATAAGGATCGTTTGTGATAAAGGGGCAACGCCCGAAACGTCGCCTATTACGTCAAGAACACCGTAGCCTTAAAAGAAGAAGACAATGACAGGCGGGGTTTCGGAACTTTACTCTTCTTTAGAGCACGTCACATTTGTTGTGAATAAAGGGGCAACGCCCGAAACATCGCCTATGACGTACTATTTATTTGAAGGTCACGGTGTTATTGACGGATGTGTTGCGTTGTGTCGTTAACAGTGCTTGGTGCATCACTGTTAACTGTACTCTTAAACCCACTTCTTGAGGCTAGAGTTAATAATAAATACACTAATTAATCTTATAATTCCGATTTTATTAAGATTGGGCAAGGCAGCAAGAATACCACCAAAACAGTCCCAGACCACACCAAGACAACACCACACAGCAGTCGTCCCTCAATAACGTGGCCACGTTAACATCGAGCCGTCGATACTACACAAGGTAAGATATCAACGCTTAGAAATCACACTTGAGAGAGATTGTCACGAAATGCCATCGAGGTTGAGCAAAATTTCGGTGCGCTCAACGATTCCTCGCCTCTCTAGAGCTCCCGAAAGTGTGGCTCATTTCACCCGGAAGCCCTGTTCTCTCCGTGCGCTTGACAGCAATATGTTCAAACATCTAAACGCCAATGTCGAGGTCTGCTGGACACGACGAGAGGGTTTCAGGAGAGTGTTCGTGTAATTTTGCTGTTCCTCCTCAATCACAACTATAAACTAAACAACTATTTTTTTTATTATACCGGGTAAGGTCCACTGAGTTATGTAGTTATTCTTTCAGAAACGACCTGGCCACAAATGATAACGAAGTGGCTTATCATCACGTGGAGAATTATAGCAGCCAAATACTCTAAACGCCGTGATGTTGATCCTAAATGTGCAGGGGAAAACCGGAGGACCCGGAGAAAAATCCACGCGACCACGGGGAGAGAGACAGCCCAAACTCCAAATATACAGCAGCAGGCGTCAGGGACGGGATCGAACCCACGACCTCCTGCATACCAGGCGAGGGAGGTAACAACTCGAAACCGCGAAATGTCCCAAAGTTTTTGGTTGCATGGTCACAAGTCGCACCGCTGTGGCTTTTATTGAAATGTCCTTTCGTTAAGGAGATATGCGCATCGGCCTGTCCGACGTTCTGTTGCGGGTGGTGGTTACACCACCAGTGCCAGATTATCCTCGTAGCAAAAGTAGCTACACATGTAGTAGTAGTAGCTACGGGCCCCGCACTTTCAAGGG